GTGCAGGTTATTCATGCCATATTCAATGGCAGGACCACTACAGACTGTAGTCAGTGCAGGAGAAACTCGCCCGTTATACTTGTGCTTATCCGCAGACAATGTAGATGGAATCTTGTGCAAAAGTCTAATAAAGCGGGCGTGCACATACAATGCAAATGAAGAATGAATAGCGCATTAGGTGAGACTTTGTCAGCAACACACAATGGACAATACCCTCTGGAGAAGTTGGAAGAATATACTGGCGTGATCGTCCGACTAGTCGGCGGAAATGCATAAGCAAAGCGGTAGACAAGGGAGATTTATCGGCCGTATTGCTCGTGAGTTGATACGGCAACAACAGTCCGATTTCGTACGATACCAGCTAGAGCCAGCAGGTTCATACAAAACCCACTTTCTAGCAACCCAAACAACGGGTCAAGACGAGACTGCGCAAGGCAGTAGAACCCCCGCATACCCTCAGGGGGCAACTTACGCTCCAAATCTCAGCGTCTTGCAATTTTTAACTCTATCCTGCATGTGTCTATATCCTACACTGCGCATGGCTGCAGGTGCACTAACAAGCAGGCGAAATGTCATTTTGATGTAGTCATCTAGACTTCCCAAACAAAATTGGGCTGAGTCAAGATCTTGATCGAATGGTCGCACTTTTTTTATGACACGACTACGATATACATCGTCCGCTCCCTCATCATCTCGGATCCACTTTCGGCTACAGGTGGCATGGAATAGCCCCACTTCGAACGCCACGTTCGTACCTGTTGCCGTCTACACATTGACGATAGATGGAACTGGTGCAACCCAATACATATCTACCGAAAATTCGCGCAACAGCTCTGAAGAAAAGAACGCAAAATCATTAGTGCAAGGATGATGACATGTACGGAAATCAGTGTACATAAAGCGAAACCAGGATGTGTGGGTCGCCCATTCCTTCATCGAAGTACCACTACTAACTTACGTTGAGCGCGCCGAAGATAGATGTAATGCGTCTAAGATCAGGTCTACCGTGACAAATTTGCCAATAAGCTCATGTGAAGACTGCAAAAGTGCGATCGAACGCTTAGCAGAGATGCCTGAGGAACCAATCCCCGTGAGTCAATAGGTATCCCTGATGATCGAGGAAACGTCGGATTTTGAAAGCACCAACGCTTCTGGTATCCTGGATTGAACATACAAGGCGCTCGGTATTTTGTAGCCAAGGCATCGATGACGTTGTTCATCGAAGAAGACTTGCCTTTCAACAATGGAGACCCTAGTCGATTTGCACATTATCGATGGTCGTGCCGATCGACGCGCACATACGGCGAAGGCGTAATATCTGTGGGGTACTTGGCAATTTCCGATCCTGTCAATAGCCGAACTGGTGTGGGCTCGCAGTAATTCACCGAAACATGTGGAGATGTGGATCACCCATAGGCTGCCGCGGATACGCATTATCCACGCCACTTTCAATAATCTTTTTCATAGCTTTGTCGGGTCGTCAAGTAATCTGCTCCCTTGATGCGATAGGTCCTGTCATGGTCCGCGAGAGGTAATAAATCCGTCGGCCCATGACAGGCCCTATCGCAAACGTCCATCCACGAGAGACAACCAAGTCTGTAATGGGGTAGCGTCCCCCTCGTGCACAAGTAGCACCGTCGTGCTGGAAAGCCCATCAGTCCGTGGATGGTCATCACCATCAGTCCGTCGATGGAGGAGGGTGGGCTTCAAAGGTCGTCAGCACCATTTCTGCTGTACAAATTACATACAAACATACTGCGGTCACGCAAAGCCGAGACGTGCAATGTAACTTCGCTGGCGAAGAAAGATCGACACTTGATGATCCATGAGCGTGCACTGACGGCAACAAAACTTATCAAGCTCTTTCATATCTCCATTCTACTGCGATCATACGGCCTCAACTTACCGCAAATCAAGCCAAAATATCGATCTCAGGGCATTGGCAGCACGTGGCAAAAAGCGTGTATAATTGCTATTCACTGCACCACGTCACAAATGCAACCATCCCCTGTCAGCTTGTGGTCTCAAATCAGTATGATGCAACTCGACGCTGACGCTAGCCGATCCGAAACGCCACATAACCACTTGACATGCATCTCGACTCCTCCGCAAGAAACATCGGTAGGTGTATGAGAAATGGTACGACTCGATGCCGACAAGTGTCCTTCGGCATCTTGAGGGTGACAAGATTCAACTGATCGCACTGCTATGCGAAGCGTTCCAAAGCGGTGAGCCCGAGTACCGGTATCCTGCGTCCAGTATCGGGTGAAATTCGCATGAGCCCGTACGACCGATTCCAAAGCGAACAATCCTTCGAGCGAAAAGGATAGCCTTCCAAAATGAATAGACTTTCGAGCTAGACCTAAATTACGGTCTCACTTCACGCGATCGCATCCCCTAACGCTAACTCAATGCTTTGACAAGTCAACGCAAGTGGCTCCTGTCAATTGAGATGCAGGAGGTGTGGCGGTCCGTGGAGCCGCCCGCGCCGCTCGAGACGAATTCGCTGGTGCAGCAGAACCTCGAGCACGCGGACGGAGCTGGAGGCGTGGGTGGAGGCGCAGAAGACGCGTCTCTTGGAGGAGAAGCGCGCCGACCAACTGCGGGCGCAGGAGCACGCGCGGGCGACGGACGAGGCGCAGCGCAGGCGCGAGATGCTGCAGATCGAGCACCAGAGACCGTCAACGGGTACAGCTCCGCACTCTGTTAGCTGATTAGCTTCTTTCGGCACTGACGTAATGGTGAAATGGTACGTCTGGTGACTCTGGTGTTGTTGACGCAGAGTGCCACACGAAGGAGAAGGAGGTGACTGCGAGTCAAGTGGAGATCGAGGCGCTGCAGGCCGAGAAGAGCAGGAGGGAGCCGGTGGTGAAACATTTGCTGGCCAAGATGGTGGAAGAAGACGCCAAGCTCAAGCAGCTACTGGCAGAGTCGCAAAAGCAGAGGACGACGCTGAAGCAGCAGCTACATGATCTTAAGCAGGGCTCGCCATGTATCAGAAACCGGGACTCGTCTTTGAGCACTCGGAAGGTCAGTAAACAGTGTTAAGCTGACGGCACCCAAGACGAGAGTCGGACTAACGTGCGATGGTGCTGCTAGTTGCTGCTGCTGCGTAGTGAATCGCATTGTCATCCGGTTCACTCAGATTGACGCACAGGACCCCAGTCGTGAGTTTTCGTTTCGCATCACGATCAACCCCATCACGGATCGATACATTGGTGCGTCTTCTGTTGTGCAAACGAAGTTGTGAAGTGTGTTGCGGTAATGCTAACCTGTTCTTGTATATGCGCTCTGTCTAGTCGATAACTGCAACGAAGAAGTCGCGGCGCTGGACGAATTGGTCACGAATCTGAACGAGTCTGGTGACTTGGCGCGCTTTGTCCGCTCCATGCGCCGACAGTTCAAGCAGCTCGTGTAGCATCGACTTTCAACCCTGTTTATATACGACGCCGTTTCGTGTCCCGGTGCTGGTTGGTCATCGCAAGTGCGACTCGCTTCGACTGCAGATGCTGCGGTGTTGGCGGTCGTGACCCATCCAGTGTAGACTGCGGCGGAGGTCTAGAAGGCAGGTGTGGACCGATGAACTCAGCCTTGTCTTGAGCTACGATAGGCGGAAGAGGAGGTGGTAATGGTGGATTGCACGAATGCTGCCTCGCAACCGTCGCGTAGCGCTGCTGTCGGTCTCCAATTTGCACTACGATTGCCACGACACAGAAGCAACTGCCGTCGCCGCGCTAGTTTGTCCATCGTGTCCTCGAGCGTCTCGAAGTGAGGCGCGTACGAGATCTGCAGTCGACTGCCGAAGAACAGCTTCTGGACGCCGCGCGCTTTCGCGTGTCGCGCATTGTTCACCGTCTCATATTGCACCCACACCGTATCCGCAAACTCGTCGTCGTCGTCGTCGTCGTCGTTTCCCTCGACCCCCAGTGCTGCTTGTCGGTCGTCTGCATGATCGAGCAGACGGTACTCGCAGACCTTTCCGTACAGACGGAGCCTCTGGAGCAGGTCTTCAATCACACCGAGCGCCGGGACATTGCGCACCACTACGTAGCGCGACTCGCTCGCCACTGTGAACACGCGCACACTGCGACTGTTCATGACGATTTCCAGCCACCCGTCAATCACATACTGGACGTCGCATTCTTTTGACAGCGGCGCACTTGACGCGAAAACACACACGCAAAAAAAGTCAACGCGATGTCTCTTGTACCGTGAACTTAATAGACGACAATGGTAAACGCAACGCAAGGCGACTTCAAATAACTTAACGAGCATACCGGTTGTCGTACTCGTCTGCGTCCTCGCCCTTCGCTCGCACACCCGTTGCTACTACTACTCCCAGCACGGCACCCATCACTCTCCACAGTCGACAACAACGCCGTTACCCGAAGTGTCTCTGTCTGCACAGCGTCGCGACACCGAACTTCAACTACTGCCGCGATACCGACTCGGAGCGGTCGACGACTGCAACGGGGCTGCAGCACTATTGCGATAGGTGGAGCTGAAAGAGTTGGGCGGACAATGCACCGCACCACGGGTGTTCACGCGGGCTTGAGATGTGCTCAGTACCGCAACGTTCGCGCGTTCGTCGTTGCAGGCGCGACCTTCGCCGTCGTCTCCACTTGTACGTGTCGGCAACTGCACGCTCTCCCACTTTCCTCGTTCTTCGTCCTTTTTATCGACGCTGAGGTCTTGCATTGAACGTCGGATAGCTTCCAAAAGCATCAGCTCCTCCAGCCGTGCAGCGTCTGCAGACGTTGTCGCAACGCGGGACGCTGCGTCGTTCAGCGCGGCGATGCTGTTCGGGTGCGGACTGTTGGTCACAGGCTTGTCGCTGATACGAAGCTGCGAGCGAAGCGAGTCGCGAATACGGTCGCGATCTTCCACTGACGCGTAGTGTACACCATGCGGGCTCGAAGTCTTAGTGTGCTTTGGTTCTGCGCGCTCGGGAATGCCAATCGCGCTGCTTCGACGCGGGGACCTCACGTTCTGCGTTGCATACAAAGAGTGAGGTAAACCAGTCCAGATCAACGTGAACAAGAGAACCAGTGACCACACTTACCGGCACAGAGCGGATCGGGGTGACCTCTGTCGGCGACGGCGGCGTGTACTTGACAGCAAACGCTTCGTGATTGCAAAAGGGACAGCTAAAGAGTTCACACAACCCACGTGTGAGTCAACAGCCATCAACTTCCAGTCCGTCAGGCTGCAAACTGTCGTCACGTACGAAATCGATTTGCGTGGCGGTCGGATCTGTAGATAGCACTCGGAGCAAATCGGTTTCTTGCAGCAGCTCGACGTGTTGAGGCTCCCGGGATAGAACTGGACAGCGCCACACAACAGGGCATCGTCAGGTCAGTCCGCCACTCCCCTCGGACACTCTCCTCCTCCTTGTCGCTCCCTCACCATAAAGCAGATGGGGCACTCGAGTGTGAACCCCTCGTCCTTCGTCTCTTTGCCGTGGAAACGTGGCGCCAGTTTGTGCTCGACGATCAGACGGCGCGCCGTCTTGAGCTCCCACGGACAGCTCGGGTACAGTCTACACAACAAGACAGTCAGTGAGTGGGGAGGGAAAGAGGGTACGCGACCGGGTACGCAGACCGTACCCCGTGGGCTTCGTGTACTTCTCGAGCTCGCGCGTTGCCGCCGAGTGGCGTCGGCCGCTTTTCTTCGACGTCACGTTGCCCATGACCCCTCTCTCTGCGTCGCTTCTCTTTGCCAAATGAACCCGAGCGACGACGACGGATTTGACGCGCTCCAGTCTGACAGTTGCGTACTATCAACCAGTTCGAGTCCACCAATCTCGTCGCGGCGGGATCACGTCTGCGCGGTTATGCGATGCTGCAGGTTCTTTCCAGCGTGATTGAAGTTTACGCGACCAGCTTGTCGCAGAGCGATTGTTTACTGCCATCCGCGGCGCCAGCACGCGAGCTGTCCGAAGGCTGCACACCAGCCGAACACCTGAGATCCTACGACCACGAATTATCCAATCGTTTCGACCTATCCGGTCTTTTTGTCCGCCGACCACGACGAAAGCACAGAGTGGACGAGAAAGATAGCGGCGTCTCTGACACAGCTCGTTCGTTGATAATGAGGATGCATGATCACAGGGCAAACTCGAGTTCGTTTCGCTCGCCTCGCTCTTGATGAGGGTTCATCTGTCGTGACAAACTCATCGATCCACTTTCGACGATCGACGCGTATCGACAACAAATACGATCACGAGTGCAACTTACGTGGATGTCAGCGAACAAGCCGCGCTACTCCAAGTAGGTACCCCTAACTTGCAGAAACGAATCCGTAACGAAGACCGGAGGCGCGGGCCGAGACTGCTTGTCAACAGCTCGAAAGGAGATCAGGTAGCACTTGGTACTTTCCCAATGTGCGAATAGTTGCGTTAGCTGCTGACCAAGAACATGCACGAATGAGTACGTGGAAGCCTTAGTCGCGCAAACGTCAGCAAGCTCATACATTGACTCTTCGTCGGTCAATTTCCCACTCACCCGTCACCTCGATAGACTGTTGCGAAGAGTAGATCCAATGCATGTAGTGGCACTACGACCATTGCACGGCCACACGTCCATTGCGTCAGCATGTTACCGGTGTACGTGCTTCTGAACAATTGAACGTTTCTACCATGGCGGAATTGTTGACGCTGCAGAGACTGCACTATCTGTACATACAGCGGAATCTCGCAAGTCGAATATGGGACACCTCGGAAAGATGGAAACGACAAGGCGAGAGCACAAGTGCTTCAGCAGGTTGTTTGACGGCGTTGACGTTTGTATTACCGCTATTGGAGAAAAAATGACAGTGCCTCAGTTTGAGCAAAACTCTGACTGCTACGACCGTGATAGAAGCTTTGATCGAAGAAAGAGCGATACGATTAGGGCATGAAAGTGAGGTCATGAGCTGGCGTAGTCTAGCGCAAGTAGGATCTAGTAGCGATAGATGGTATTCTTGAGTCATCTCACCACATTGATACAAAAGATCTGCTGCCTGGAAAACGACACTCACTACTCGACAAAGCAACATCTTGAGCTGGACATTAAGCTGTCAATGGGGTTCAATAGGTCAACATCTGCTTATCTACGAGAGTGAGACTGCAGCATTGCTTCCAGCAAGAAGCGACTGACGCTTGAGGCAGCGGTCAATGCAGTGTATGTACGTGACTGCATTCGGCAGCATCCATGTCACTATATCCTTCGACAAGGATTTGGACATGACTGACTGATGGGGCACCCTAGCAGCTGCAGCAAGTCTAATGATGTCTATGACATTCTTGCTCTGTGGTTTCAGCATAAAATCAAGTGGGGAAGTGTTATAGTCACTTGGCGTGACGCGACAGTTTGAAAGTGACGTTGATGCCCTGCAGCAGCTTCAAAACCCAAGCTACAGCATTCTTTTGTGCCAAGAAGACAATGAAGATGCGCCGTTCCGACCAGCTGCGTTTGTCGACCTCGACGATCTTTCGCTGTGCACGTCCGTGCTCTTTCCACCTTCAACGACATTTTTTTTTTTTTTTTTGTGATCAGATGGTCTATTAACATGGGTTTAGCTATGTACAAGATCTCTGGTAAATGCGGAGCCAAACGGCCAGCCCCGGTTTGTCCGAAGGGTGGCTTTGGCTAGCCCTTGACATGCCTGGAGGCCCGTCAGGTGCTCGTTCGAGCAACTCGATGCTGGATAATAGCACGGCGCCCATGATGGCTGAAGCCTCTTTTCTGTGCTCTCTGGTCGCAATCGCGCGAAGTTGGCAGACGCATGCAGTCCAAAAGCTCTGCGTGGTTCCGGGGAGGTCGGTCACGACTGTGCTGTAGACGGCTTCATTGCGGTCGGTCCACAGCCTTGTAAGACACATCGTCGCAAGAATGTGCCACATTCTCTTCCAGACGTGGTCGGCCATTCCCCGATCCTCCTGAAAGCGGTCCTTAGTATTGCTGTGCGGTGCTGTGGTACGTGCGACACTCGTCGACTTGCACACGCTTGAAAAAATTGCTGAGTGCGCTGTCGTGATGGTCGCTCGCCTGTCCATTGACTAACGAGTTTACCCCAGAGAGCTTCAGCATACGCGCACTCCCAGAATAAATGAGCCAGAGTCTCCTTTTTTCCCCGACAGCCCGGTCGCACCTTCAACGACATTCTTTTACCACAGAAATCGTAGCGATTTGTGATCTTCCCTCTCTTCACGGGGCACAGATGCATTGTTCTACCACCTTCTGCGCGCGGAAGCTGCCCCAGTGGGCGCGAACGTGCTCGAACGCTCTCGTGGTGGACAAACGAGCGGCCAAGCAGATGGCAAGTTCATTACAAACAGATGCTAGCTCTCTGCTCAACCTTTCTCCGCATCGTCCGAGCGCAGGAGCAAGCAGCTGTGCGCTGGATTGGTGACTAATGCTGGACACATCGACTACAGAA